TGAGTGTTTTTGTGCACATCTCCCCATCTCCACCCACTCACCCCTCAAAAACCAGAGGGAATGGAAGCCAATACAGAGGAGATTGTAATCATTGCAATGAAACGATGGTGTAAAGCCAATGTTCTGCCATGTAAACTATCACTCAATTTGAAATAAAAATAAATAATTAAAAAAAAAGATGGATGAACCTGTTTCCAGAAAGACTATGTACAGCAGACCCCTGAACTTCATGACCTACTTACACATAGACTTTTAAAAAAAATTGTCTTGGGACACTAATCATACCTGTGTAAGCAGTTTGTCATCTGGAAAATGTGTGTCACAGTAAAAAGTCATCTCTCGTGGTTTTTGTGTATTTTTCATTGTGTTTAATGCAATATTATTGACCATGGGGCTAACATGGAGTGTCACTAGTGATAATGCAAGAGCTTCAAGGAAGCAGAGAAAAGTCATGACATTACAAGAAAAAGTTGAATTGCTTGATCTGCACCATAGATTGAGGTCTGCAGCTGTGGTTGCCTGCCATTTAATAAATTAATCCAGCTAAAGGACCATGTGAAAAAAGGAAAGGAAATTCGTAAAACTGTCACTGAAAACCTTTATGCTTTCTGGGAAATACACCTTTTTATCTCATATTAAAAATGCAACTTTTCCTAATTCCAGAAGGGGGAGGGGACGGTAGAATCTCCACTGAGTGGTTTCCAATCTGTTTGGACAGGGCTGATGACAGGAGATGGGAATAGGACTCTTGTGGTACAACAGAGAATAACTGCTATCAGGATCAGGACTAACTGTGAGAGTTGAAAATGTAAAGGTTGATGTTTTGTAACAAAAGAAGGAGAGTGGTTGATTTTGCAGTCCAGGAGTAGAGGTTCCTGGGACATCAAGGGAAGAGAGCAGAGTGTGGGACCCTACGTGTGGGACCCTACCCAGAGAAGCAGTGATGCCAGAGATGGAGGCAGAGATGATGTTGTGAAGGGATGGAGCGGCTGGGGACTCTGGACTCAGGGAGGGAGAGGGGCTGTGTGCTGGCAGCCAGGGGGCAGACTTACGGGTTGTACCCTTTGATTGTTTGATGATGCGTGGAAGCGACTGTAATCATTGCAATGAAACAAAATATGATAGGACGAATGTAAAGCTAATGTTCTCCCGTGTAAACTATCATATAATTCACACAAAAAACTTTTTTTTAAAATGCAGCTTTTGGAGGCAGGACTTCTTGCGCTTCCCGGACCAAGCAGCTCAGGTAGGGCTCCGGAAAAAGGGGCACATTCGCACATAGGAAACCTCTGTCTAGCCTTTGAGTAAACATAAGATCTTATATTTCAACATTCTGAACTCATTTTTTTGAAAGATCAAATTGCTGAGGAATTACAGGCATTTTGAGCTTTTGCCTGCCTGCATGCGGCTCCCAATCCCCGCACAGTGCCGGCGAGTGCCTCGGCCCCCTGCGGACTGTGGAGACCAAGGCTGGCGCAACCCCATTTAGAAGGCTGCATTTCCAGAGAAAAGGAAGCAGAAACTGGCAAAGGAGAACAAATATCAGCATGGATATCAAGAAATTCGGGGTACCCACGGTACAGAGAGACTAAGAGAGGTATTTTTTAAGTCATCAGATACACGCCCACTGAGGCCAAAGCCTGCCGAGAGGCCCAACCTGACCACAGACTGATCACAAAGGCCCAGGCCGAAACAAAGCCCAAATCGCCCACACGCGGAGAGGACCAGGCGGCCCACAGCCCGGTAGCCGCCGAGGTCCAGGGCCCTCAAGGCCCACCCCGCCGAGTAGGCCGGTTGCAGAGGCCCAGGGCACCTGAGGCCCAACCCACCGCTAGCCCAGTCGCCGAGGGCCAGGGCCCTGAGACCCAACCCGCCCTCAGCCTGGTCCCCGAGGCACAGGCCCCCCGAGGCCCAATCCACCCAACCCGCCTGCCGAGGCCCAAGCCGCCCGATGCCGAGCTGCTGATACCCAGGCCCCCTGAGGCCCAAACCTCCCGCCCAAGACCCAAACCTCCAGCCAGAGACCCAAACCGCCCACCCAAGGCCCAAACCACCCACCCGAGGGCCAACCCTTCTGCAGCTCAGTTGCTGATGCCCAGGCCCCCAGAGGCCCAAACCGACCACCCTAGGCTCAACTCACCCGCCCGAGGCCCAAATGGCCCACCGCCCAGGCCCAGGCCCAGGCCCAACTGAGCCCAAAAAAAGTTACTCTGAATTAAGCAATAATAAGAGGGAAAAGGGAAGACCACATCCTGATCACATCTTCCTGGAGGTAATCAGAAAACATAATAAATTACCAAAATACATACTTAATTAACTCTTAGGGCCAGAGATAAACATTAAACATGTACAAGGAGCAAAAGCAGATGACCATATCGGCACATGTCCAGAAAAAAGATAAAATATCTGAGACAAATGAACCTAAAGTAGACCTTCTCTCCATGCTGGAAGGTGGGCAGGCCTTGGAGATACCTGAGAAAGAATTC